AGGCAGCACATATGATTGGGATGGCCTTTAATGAAGGCCATCTTTCAAGGCCCTCTTGTTCAGGGTTTAGGCTCTTAGGCTTTGGGTCCCAGATCTTAGGAGCCTTTCCAGGAGTGACCTTCGCAGAACAACACTGGCTGGCAGCAGCCCTAAGTACTTGACAGGCAGGGTTGGTCGAAGCTGGTTGTCTCCAGACCGTCTTCTTTTTTTCGAGGTGGTACGAAAAACTCTCCGGACCTGACCATAAATGGTCAGCTCCTTTGGGCTGGCTGCCTTCAGCGAGTCTCTAAACTCACAGAAACCCTGTCAGGGGAGTCCAAATTCCCGAGACCCTAAACCCATCAGCCCTAAAGCCCGAAAGCCCCACGAACCCGACAGGCCCTAAAACCCCGAAGATCCATCCTTCATACCACGCGTGAAGCCCATCGAGCCTCCGCCGCCGGCGCTGACTCGAAGAGCACTCCGAGCCCATCTCCAGAAGATGTCTTCGCGCCTCCATGGGTTTTTCATGGACGTGGCGAAGAAGCTCAAGACTGTAGCAGCAGCGGCTGGAGGCGAAATGGAAAACCTTGGTAATGGTAAAGTAGAGTAGAAGAAGCTCTCGTAGGGCATGCTGGGAGTCGGCTGCAAACGCCTAACATTTTCAAACCAGAGGAACCTCAAGCCGAATCTAAAGCCAGAATGTTCAATCAGCTCTTGGATAACTTAAAGTTCAACAATTCGAGAATCCGAAGCCCAAGAAATCCCGGGCTATCACTGCCAGTGTGCCGCCAGCTGCAGTGGCCAGAATGCGAATCTCTTCGTCTGCGGTCTTCATGACCTGAAGCGCCGGTCGAGGGTTTTCTGGGCAGAGTATCGCTGAAGGCTTAGGGCCAAGCAGAACCGCATCACTTCTGAATCGGGCGCTGGCAATTTCCGCATCGGAACAGGCATAGAGATTCTCTTTTCGAAAATCAGCCCCTAAATCCTGCAGTAAACCTCAAGATTCTCAACCAGTAACTTAGATTATCTACAGCCGTTACAAATCCCGACTGAGCTCCTTAACAACAACCCGGGCCGGTCTCAGGCGAAGCACCGGAAACCACCTGCCCAGGCCGGCAAGCTTTGCCTCTGCACGCTGCAGGGCGACCTTTGATCTTTGCTATGGGCAGATCTTCATTGGCTGGGGTAAAGATTGGGGTTTAAGCTTTAGGGCCTTCCGGCTTTGGGCTTACGAGTGTTGGGGTTCAGCGGTTTAGGGTTGAGGGGGTGGCGTGGCAGGGCCGAAGCGGAAGTACCAATGCTTCATTCAAAAGCTCTGTTCTGTAACTGCGGGCAAAGCCGCGGCCTTGTCCGGCTCTTGCTGCAAAGCCTGCCCGCTTGTGGAAGAAAGTGGTCTCTTTCTTAATCATCTCAGGGTCCCCTGATGACAAGGATCCTCGTATTAGCATTGCCTCGTATTGCAGGTGGCTTGGGAATCCTTCCAATGCGGGTACTGTTTTCCGAGTCCATTTCAGGGTTCCTCATTTGTAAGGTCCTTACGAAGGGGATTCGACTGGTGAGGGTCGCCCACTTCAAGGAGCCATGTCGTCACTCAGAAGCCTGCCACGTGCCTGAGCCATGACAGAGGAGGCCACACATCCAGAAGAGTATGGCAAAGCTTAACACAACAGCTTTTGGCTTAGAGTTCCAGGTTGCTGTACACAGAATGGTTTAGGAGTTTATAGGATAATTCAATTGTTTGTAACCTATTATCAAAGGTTCGGAGCCTCGCATATCGATCTTCGCTCGAGCCTCCACGCGTTGCTGGCAGCTCGCCAGCAGTTTGTCGAAGGCCACCTGAACCAAAGTCTAGGGCTTCGGGGCTTAGGGTAATTATCGAGGTTGAGGGTCGACTTTGGGGGCAAGGATTCGGAGAGCTTTGCACCTTTTTCGGATGGCCTTGCACCAGAAGGCGCAGCGGTCAACTAAGGTCTCTGGACAACATTGGAACGCAAGGATTGCCAAACAGAGCCCTTTTTTCGCTTCGGAGAGCTCTGTGATTGGGTTCCCAAGAAGAGTCCGAACCCGCAAAGCCTAAACCTGCACATCCTCATACTCAATTAATAGCCACGCAACCTCTAGTGGACTCTGGAACCCCTCACTACGTGAAACCTCCCAATACCCGATTCCCCAAAAACCAAAGTCTGCAAGGATTCGGTCCGACCTGCGTCCTTCGCAGGATGGGCGGCAGCAGGTCGGTCACCTCCCCTCGAGAAGGATAGCAAGGGCGGTATCAGGCTTTGACGGGTTCCAAAAATGTTCTACTCATCGGGATTATAGTGGTTTAGGGTTTAAGGTTCAGGCTGTTGGCGTCTATTCTGCCGTTTTTCGGGATAACTATCCTTCCACTGCGTCTAGCTATGGTCCACGTACTGGTACCCTGCTGCAAAGATGGTGGGTTCCCAAGCCGAAGACCACAAGACTCCTGAAGCTCGCAAGCCTCAACTCCCAAACTCTGAAAAACCCGCTGTCCCCGCTACAGTAGGACTCCCCGAGCCGAAGACCCCGTGCCTAGTTCGGCGCTGGGGGCACCAGCCGGCGCTCCTGCAGGGCTTCGACGACTTGCCCGACAGGTGGGATCAAGACAATAGATGGGTTCAGAGCTTCAGAGTTAGGGAGTGGGGCTTGGGAGCTTTGTGTCTTGAGCTTTGGGTTTCGGAGTTTAGGGTTTGCCGTGTATTTCGGTGTAAACCCCTAAACCCCCACCCCCCGGCAACACTGAATGCTGAAGCATTTACCCAACGAAACAGACGCCTGCGGCTGCTCGGCTCTCGTGCCAGCGCTTGGGCGTCCAGGCCCAGTGGCACATGCAGGCATACTCGGACGGATGCTCCTGGCGGAGGCCAGGAGGTAGTCTGGACCGCATCGCGGCATGTACAACTCAGCATTTCCCGTCTTGAAGAAGGCGCGAAGTCTAATGCACCCAGTTGAAGGGCTCCGGGGTCTCCCGGGGATGTTAGATGCTTGAAACCTGTCTGCAGCGCGTTTCTGTGAATGCCGGAAGTCCGTGAATCCAAGCCTCAGCAACAGCCCGCCGGCTGTCGGCAGCATGTAGCTTGGCCTGCATCATAACACGCGCACACTCTCAGGGCCAAAGACTCAACACGGGATACTGTGCCCGCAAGACTCAACAACAGACGGGCTACGAGCTGTTGGAGGTGCCTTCACACGCTTGGCAAGTTCGTCAACATCCGTGACTTCACCTCGGTCACTGACGGGTGTAAGGTTGCTCTGTCTGGAGCTTGTGCACTGTTCATGATTCCAACATGTCCCTCCTGTCTTTTTCTCCTTCTCGCTCTGATTGTCCGTCTATCTCTCTCTCTCTCTCTCTCTGTAGTATCTCTCAGCAAAAGAAGCCTAAATTGCGAAGAAACACCGACATGGGCCGAAATCGGGCGTGGCCTGTGAGTGCTGTCGACAAGATAAAAGGGCTCGCACACCCCTAAGTCGTTAAAAGCGCACACCCCCTTTCTGCCATGGCTCTCAGCCCACATCCGAGCAACTCCAACAATGCCTGCCACTGCAGGGAGTGCGGAAGGGTCAAAGAAAGGCTGCGGGCTTTGAACTCGAGATAATGAGATGCGGAGGTTTCTGCGTGGGTTACAAAGCTGTCATCTAGGTCATTCGAATCTCGCTGTTAAGGGCTCGGGACCTTTGAGTTATGGGTTGCTGCTCCACGCCTGAACAGGTTCCTCGTTTTTCTTGGCAGCAGCTCAGGACCCACAAAGGCGGGTCGTCATCCACCCCAAACCCGAGATAGGCCCTCGAGCCGTCAAATCCACCCTGCCTCGTGCACGGCCTCCAGCTGAGGGGACGGAAGCCTGGAGACGAAGACGTGCTTATCGAGGATCAAAGGCTGGGTCCATGTTAGGGGTTTGTGATGGGGTTTTGGGGGGCCCGATGGTGCGTCTGTAAGGGTTCTGAGGATTCTCGGCTCGGATGTTCTCAGGTTTACATGCTTCTTGTTCGCGGCTTCGTCGGATTCGGCGCTCGCTGTGTCTTCTTCCCCAGTTGGCACTAAGGATCGTCAAAGACTACGATCTTGACCCTGTTCGAGGTCTAACACAGAAAGGATCTTGAGCCCTCTTGCGAAATCATCGCTTCAAGACAAGCCCCGGCGTCATTGAGTTGTCGCTTATAGCCTATCATTTCCACGGGGTGAAACATCTTGAATCTTGAGCCTTCGTAATAGTCTCGTTCGAGGCGTTATTCTCATTAAGCAAATGTAGCCAGTACTACATAAAAACTTCAGCGTTGCCTCACAACAGGTGGGGTCCTTTCGATGGCAGTGCAAGCAGCTCATTTGGCTGCGGCTGCGTGGGGTGACAGATCCAAAGGTGTCATTCGATTTTCGAAGAGACCTGTCATTTATGTCATTTATGCAAACCCAGTAAACGACCGAAGCAGCAAGACATGCCCCGAGAAACAAAGCTAAACCCTGTACCCAGGGTCAACTGCTCCGATCAAAGCGCTTCGACAAGCAGGCGGGCAGCCGCGAAGCAGAAGCCATTTGCGGGGAGTCTATTCTCCCCGTCTTGACCGTTGAAGTTAGAGTCAGGTTTGACATAATTTATAGGGACTAAAGAAACGTTGTCACGAAGTAGTCAGGCCCCTATTTTGCAAAATGGGCGGCTCCGCACATGCCGCCCAAGGCTTATCACTAACCTAGGTTTGTCAGGGAAGCTGTTCACAAAGCAACTCATGGGGTGGAAAGAGTTTCAGATTTGCTTTTGCGTTTACGGCGTTGGGTTTCGACTGCTGCCGATCCAAAGAAGTGCCTGAAGCCTCCGGACATGGGGCAGGCGGGTCGAAGTTGTCTGGTGGGGCAGTGCGGGATACGAGCGGCTTCTGAAGATTTGAGCCGAGCCATCGCGTCGCAGCCTCTGGCTTCACGTGCAAGGGTTCAGGATTCCAGCAGCCTCATGGAAGCTCCAAACCTACCCACGGCACAGGAAGTGGCCCAAGGCTCCGGAGCCGTCCTCCTTGTCACCCCGTGTTTTCAGGGCATCGCCAACCTGAGATGCAGCGGCCAAGCTGAGCTGAGATGAGAGCAACTCCAGCAATTTGTGGGCCTTCTGAAACTCGGGGTAGAGGATACAGCTGTTGCTGCAGCCGGGCAGCGCAGGGGAACTTGGTCCAGTCGGAGTCATCCAAGAAGACGATCTGGCCCGACTCGTCGCCAAGCCTGGGCTTGGCGGGCACTGGAACTCTTCCACGCGGTTTGGGGGGGGGTTTGGGGTTTATAGGGCTTATACGGCTTATAGGGCTTATAGGGGTCTAAGGCTAGATTCGGGTTTGAGGTTAAGGTCTGGGGTCTACAGACCTCGAGGACTCTACGATGTAGTCAAGCTGTACTTCCTTCTTTTGGTTCTCTTCATTGCTTCACATGGATCTCCAAGCCTCTAAGCACGAAGTAAAGGTAGGCTTCCTCGGGAAGCTGCAGCATAACTCCAACATAGGAGTCCGCTTATGTCGTAAGAGCATTCGCTTGTATTTCTCTTAACCGATACCCACCAACAGCCTCTTCAAACTACTCAGGCTTTTTGACTAAGCTAAACTCGATGCCCCTCCTCGCGAAACCCTCAAGCAGCGCAGCCCGAAGCTGAAACCAACATCCACTGCCAGGTGAAGCTTTTCTGGACGTCCCACAGAATTTCGGATGCTACTGTACTACGTCTGTGGCCGCGGGCAGAAGGTTCAGGATACACGAAAAAGGGTCCGTTTGTTTTCAGTGTGCTGCAATGTAGTCATGGGGACGATCGTCGTAGGGATTGAAGTTGGGAACCGACACTGCCTTCCCCTTGGAGTTATATAGAGCGTAATATAGACACCCTAAGACAGAAGGCTTCGGGGTTCAGAGGGAAGGCAGGCCCGCCAGCGCATACGGAATGATTCTTCAAAGCCAGATTGAGACCGGCACAGCGTCTGCAAGGCTTTGTCTGCCTGGGTGTAGAGCCCCTTCCTGATCAGAGAGATCGGAACTCTGCATGCTGGCTTGGGCCACCACCCGAGTTGCGAGTTTGCTCCCAGGTAGACCCTGTATGTTCGCACTGCAATGTGGCATGCCAATATGGTGGGGCCTTGCTTCATGATTTGTAATCGTTTCCCCCTAATATGGGCTCGCCCCCCCGCA